AGCTCGTGAAGCCGCAGCGGTAAATCCTGTTAACGCTTGTAGGCTCATAAAGAGGCTCTATGGATGTCGATGGGAAGTAGCAAGAGTGCCAAATGCCCCCTCTTCGCCGAACTGCACCTCTTTTCGTCGTGTTTTCCTACGGAGACGTCCGCTTTCATTTAAGCCACAAATCAGTCGGGCTATGTAGCTGGCGCTCAATTGAGATCGTTCAGCATCGCACCCCTGCTGATCAACGTCCGCGTGCGCATCCCACACATGATAGCATAGATCGTTGTTCGCTCGCAGTGTGGCCATTCCTGGCTGATATTGACCTGCTGAATTTTACGACTACGAGGATTTTTCTCCGATTTTCTCATTAATGGTCTAATTCTCTGCAATTTTGTCAGGGCTTCTTATGTCGTGAGAGCAATCCGTTCTCAGCCCGTGAAGGAATCGTATAATTTTTGAATTTTTTTTGTCAGAAAAACCAGGATGATGATCTGATTCCTGATTTTTTTTCTGATCACTAGTTGCAAACTTCGATGTTTCCTTCATTGCCGTTTACGTTTCAGGACATCGAGCGTATGAAATCGTCGGCGTCAGCCATTGCACAATCATTGAGCGATTTTGGACGAGTTCTTCGCGAAACAGAACTCCCCAACGACGTCGAAACTACAGCCAGAATACTGCAGATTCAAACAGCGGAGAGGGATGCTATTAAGGTGAAACTCTGCTACAAATAATTTGCTCTCCCGTCTCAGTCGGTAACTTTATCTTTTCGTGTACAGTCTTGTTCGCTGCTGATGATGGAGCGTGTCCGGTCTGAGTAGGGTTTGACGCCAGCCCTTTCTCCACCAGTTGTGGAAGCTGGAAGGCGGCCACAGTTGGTGGAAAAGTAGCTGACGCCGCGCCAAACCCAGCCCCCCCCCTGACCCGCCTCGGCGTTCGCGGCGACAAGAGTGTACATGAACACCAGGGCATGTTCAAGGTGGTTTTGGCGTCGGAAGTTTTAATATGCACTGTCCCCAAAAGCTGAGCGCCTTAGCCGCTGCGCTTTGGCGCGCCTTTGGCTCAAAGGGAACTTTTCGGCGCCATAAAGTGTGGTACGATCGGAGGAACTAAATAGTTTTTTGAGGAGAAAGGACCGTAAAACAGTATTAGTAACTCAAACTCAGAAATGCAGACGATATTATGACGTCAGAAATGAAATGAATCGTGAATTACTGGGGAATTTCGGTGATTAGGGTGAAAACAATATAGTAAATCAGGGTGTGAATTCAGGAGAACGGTCTCAGTCGTAGTACAAATAGTGAGAGTAAAGTAAACAAGTTCCGCGTTTACAGGAGGACTTTCGAATATCCGTGCGTAAGGGATTGTCGTTGCTGCGTGCGGTACGACAGATCGAGTCGAAACCCAAACATGAACTGCTCAGTCCAACTAGACTGCACAATGTTACCGCCATCGAACGGATGCTTGTACAACTAGGTTCGTACCATTTTACTGTTTTTTTTTAGATTCTTCTTCAATTTTCATCGATTTTTAATCTACGTCGCTGTTAAGATGTCTCATACGGTCGGCTTAGGTAGATTGGGGTACGTCCTGTCACCGGCTAAATATTTTGCAAAATATGACTCCCTCTCCCGTTCCACCATCACCCTACCTACCCCTCCCGATTTCCTATCACTTTTTCCGAGTCCAGAGCTTTTCCCCTATTTCCTCCAAATTTCCACCAAAAACAGCTGTCGAGCGAAGAGAGGGGGTGGGGTACACAATTATGTGGCGCACTTGAAACAGAAAAAAAAACCACAGAAAAACCCACAACCAAAATATTTTATTTCTCGACGGCAGTTACTGCCTTCCACCCCGCAACCGAATACGATCCTTGACCGTGAGTGCGCTGGCGGTTACATCGAAACTCGAGAAGAATATCCTCTCCACATGTCGTCGCCCGTACCTTCTTGGAAACTTTGTACTGCTACAGGATTGGGTGACACCACACCTGGTGGAAACGATATGGAAAATAGTAGGGGCTTCGGGAAAAACTCTTGCCTACTCGGAATGGAAGGGGGCTGAGTACCTAAAGAAGATGGTATATCCAAGTAGGTCACCTGACCTGAATCCCCTCAGTTACCCGGCTTGGGTGGAGCTCATAGGGTGGTCTACAGTGGCGGGAGAAATCAACGATCTGGCTGAACTCAGGTACCAAATCACGGTCGCGCGCCAGAATCTCTCGATGGCGCTCGTCTTCAATGCACTGGCGGAGTATTATGATAGTATACAATATGCTGTTGAACATGGTGGTGGAAATGTCCAATCAGAATTCAATAAAGTGCAAATTATAGCGCCTCGAATGTCAATGAAGAAAAGTGTCTTCTTTTTTGTCCCCCTCCTGTATTTTGTCTCAAATCGAAAATTAACTTCGGTGGAATAGTGCAGTAAAAAAAACCTGTACAAGAAGTGGCTGAAATTCAATTATATGAGTCGAGTAAGCAGAAAAGGCACACTGGAAAATGCTGTTCTTTGCAGAAATTTTTCCTGCGCGTTGTCGTCGGCATCTGTACGGCCAAATATCT